ATGTGGGGCATGCCGCTGGGTTGAGGCATAGGGCTTGTGGAGTTATATGCTGTCATGGAGGGCATGCCACTGGGTTGAGGCATTGGGGTTGTGGAGTTATACGTTGCCATGGGGGGCATGCCGCTGGGTTGAGGCATTGGGCTTGTGGAGTTATATGCTGTCATTGGGGGCATGGTCCTGGGTTGAGGCATAGAGGTTGTGGGGATGGTATGAAGCTGTGTCTTTCCTGCAGCAGTATCTTGCACTTGATGCGTCGTGTTTCCCTGGTCAATCAGAAGAGCCCCCGACAGTACCTGGAAGTTATCAGTGAGCCTTTGGCCCACATTGGAGAACTTGTCTTCTTGACTGGTGGACGGAAAATTATTAGTTTGGGAAAATTGCTCCATCAGCGTCTTGGCAGATTCTCCACAGGGGTAGATATTCAGCCTTGCTCTGTTTGTTTGACCGTGAGAAGCTGTAGATACAGAGAGGCAGTTAGCTTTGATTGAAATGAACTGGTGTGAGAGTGAAGTGAACCTACCCAGATTGATCTCAACTGAAGTGAACAAAACCGCAAATTGTGCCAATTAAACTGACCTTAGCTGAAGTGAAATAGTGAATAAAAATTTAATTAATTCGGGTGAACAGGAGTTGAGGTGTGTGACTCACTGCTCCCCCTACTGAGTTGCGTTTTTTTTACTTTGTAGGTTGACTGCAGGTAGAGGTGGGTGGAGCTTATTGACCTGAAGTCTTAAAACGTGGGCCGGCTGGGTTATTTAGGCTGACTCATTCTGTCTGTTGCGCCCAGTCACGTTGACAGCAGCTCATTTTCAATAACCAGTGTAGCATTACAATCACAGTACAGCGCAAGTCTTTTCTCTCTTTTCAGTGTACTTGAAATGAAGCCATCAGTACATTACAAAATCTGGTTTATTAGTATTAGTGATTTTCTGGTGATAGCAATGTGCTTTTGCTAGATAAACACAAACACTGAAAAACACTAAAATGTTTTTTAGCTGTTTGGGGTTTAGTTACTATTTAATGTGTGAAATGTAAAAGTACCATTCAGATTGTTATATGTACTAAGAACAAATTGGAATATTATGAGTGAGGTAATGACATGTAAAAGCATTTAAATGTTGTCACGGTATAGCTTATTTTAACAACGTTTTTAATTATTTGGGTCAATCTTCTATAACAATGCATCATATTTTCTTAACTAATCTTCATCTAACATTTAACCAGTAAGCAATGCTGTGAAAAAAATGTAGTGGAGTAAAAACATACTTTTTTTTTCTTGAACTGATCTCTGTAATTTCCCAGAATTGATTCACTGTCACTTCAGGAATATGACGGAGATCTAACTGTAACTTTGGGAGGAAAATGCCACATATTATCCTCAGATTAATTGAAGTATTTCTGCACAGAATGAGGACTGTGGATTGTGTCCCCCATCACTTACAATAGAAATAATCTTTTAATAGAGAATGCAAAAATAATGAATCAAGCAAAAGCAGTTTAAATGTTCACCTGACAATTGTTGACGGACGTCAAAAGCAGTGGACATGTCCTTTAAATGCTCCTTTATGTTTAAAAAAAAATCTCCTACTCCATCAGCAAAACAAACAATTAAAAAACCAACTGGTGAATTAGTTTTTAAATAATAAATGTATTGAAAAATAAATTAATTGTAAGAAAGCTAAAACTGTCAGTTGTTTTTTAAGCCCATAACAATCGACACTTTAAAAATTGCCACAAGACAGCAGTGATAATGTAAGAGCTCATAAAGGAGCTTTTAGGAGTTTTAAAAGATTCTTTACCTGTTGACAAGCGGTCGTCTGAATCCAAGTGTGCAAGTTAAGGAAATAAAAGTATTTGTGGTTAAGCAGGAGTTTCTTCTCAGTTGTTTTACTGAAGCATTCTTGGCCTCTATGATGTTGTGCCAACGCAGTGCCACATACAGAACATTCTATTTCTTTGTTAAACCTGCTGATCCCGTTCAAGGCTGTGAGAGTTAGAGTTAGTTAACATGTACTTAAATCAACTTACCAACACAACAAGTAAAAAATACTCCATGACAAGTAAAAGTCCTGCATTTAAAATCCTACTTAAGTAAAAGCACAAAAGAATCATTAAGAAAATGTACTTAAAAGTACTACTTCTGCAGAAAAATAGCCCTTGATTGGCTAACTATTATGTATTACGTAATAGATTATTAATGTTGATGCGTCAATGTTAGAGCAGCATGTTACTGTTGTTGCTGCTCCGGGTGGAGCTACTTTTAACTACTTCATATACAGCTAGCTAGTGTAGTCTAGTGGTTCCCAACCTAGGGGACGGGCCCCTCCAAAGGGTCACCAGATAAATATGAGATGTCATGAGATGGGAAATGGGAGAAAAGAGGAAGAAACTAAGTTTTGATACAAAACAGTGCTTTTGGAGACTCAAACAGTTATTTGAATGAAACGTAAGAAGTAAGATATGTAAATAGCTAGGGACATAGTATACTATAAACAGTCTGAAATACTTATTTTGGTGTGCAGGAGACCTGTCTTCGTACACAATGTTTTCACTATATCTAAGTAATTTTGTCGCCTAAACTTAACATTAAATAGTTTCCTTGGTGGTGAAAAGTAATTTAAACACATTACTTGCGCTCAGAGCTCGTGTTGATCTCACATATTTCTTTAAGATCACGTTGCATCTGAAACATGCCCTGACTAGACACTGCTTTTGTGATATATATATTTTATGGTATTGTATGTTTTTATGGTATGTTCTGTGTGCAACTAAAATCTGAAAATATACCAACTATAGCTGTAAACAATGAAGTGCAGGGAAAAGTACAATATCTATATATACTGATGAAATTCATGGATACATTGTGCTATGGGGGGCCTTGTGTCCAGAGAAACAAAAGGCAGCTTAGACACAAGACGTTTCTCTCTTGCTTGGTGCTCTTTGTCCTTAAATATGACAGAGATACTTACAGTGTCTGGAAGCAATGGTGGTGGAGAAAGGCATGGGGAAATGGTTCCATGTGGGCTTAGGAGACATGATAAGATTGAATGGCATGGGAGTTGTATGGATACACACTGGCCTGGGGCCATGGTGCTGGAGGCAGGCATTTGGGTGGTGGGGCTAGCCATTGGTACGATGTTTGGGGTAGGTGTAGAGGTTGTGGGGATAAACATTGGCATGGTGCTGGGTAGAGGCATTGGGTTTGGTGGATTAGACATATTCATGGTGCTGTGCAGAGATGTAGTGGTTTTTGGGCTAGACATTGATGTGGTGATGAAGAAAGGCATTGTGGTTGTTGGGCTAGACATGGCCATGGTGCTAGAGAGAGACATAGGGGATTTAGTGGTAGACAATGGCATGATGATGCTGAGATGCATAGGGGTGTTGTGGCTAGATAGTGGCATGGTGCTGGGAGGAGGCATAGGGGTTGTGGGGCTGGACATTGGAATGAATTTCAGGAGAGAGGTAGGGGTCGTGCAGATAGACATTGGCATGGTATTGGAGAAAGGCATAGGGTTTTGTGGCTAGACATTGATATAGGAGTTGGGTGCTGGACATTGACAAGATTCTGGGGAGAGAGGTACGGCTTGTGTTGGTAGACATTGGCATGGGGATGCGGAGAGGCATAAGGGATGTGGGGCTAGAAATCTGGATGGTGATGGAGTGAGACATAGGGGTTGTGTGAGGTTGGTGGGTTAGACTTTGGAATAGTGCTGCAGAGAGGTACAGGGGTTGGTGTGCTAGATATTTACATGGTACTTTGAGGAGACGTGGGGGTTGGGGATATGACATTGGCATGGGGCTGGGGAGAGGCATAGGTGTTGTGTGGAGATAGACATTGGCAACGGGGTATGGTGCCAGTAAGAGGTTATCGACTGCAATACTCACCATTCTATTGATTTTGTGCAGCATATTCCCCTGCTCGATTTGCAAGGCCCAAATCAAGCCTGAAATTCTCAGTGAGTCTTTTGTTTAGCTTGCAGAACTTGTCTTCATGGCTGCTGGACTTCAGGAAGCTCATAACAGTTTTAATGTTAGAGTATTTAATCATCAGAAACCTTTTGCAGAGGCCAGAGTGCCGCAGACCGTTTCCCAGAGCGTTCTCCACGACAGCACAGATTCGGCGCTGCCATCTTTGTTTGATCTTTCCGTCTGTGACTGGTTTAAAGGGCTCCTCGTTGGCCTTCACATTCTCAGCCGTCTTGTAGGTTGTTGACAAAGGACAAATCCACCAGGGACAGGTATGGATATACTTTATCCACGATCAGCTGTAGAGATAAAGAGTCAGTTAGCTTGGATTGAACTGAGGTATGTTACGACCTCTGACTCACGGTTCCTCCTGATGTCTTGTGTTTTTTACTCCCTTGCAGATTGCTTGCAGGAAGAGATGGGTGGAGCCTTCTATCCTGATGGCTTGCACCTGGTCAGACTGAGTTGTTTAGGCTGACTTATTTCAAATCAATTTCAATGCAGCCCCTGCAACCACTCAATCCGTGATGGAATGACCTTTGTTTGACCCAGTCAGCTGCAGAGAAGCTTGTCCACGCCTTTATCTCCTCAAGACTGGACTACTGTAACTCACTCTTCACTGGGATCACTGCCAAGAACATCCAGAAGCTGCAATACATTCAAAACAGCGCTGCCAGGATCCTGATGAGAGTCCGGAAGTATGAGCACATAACACCCATTCTGCACTCACTACACTGGCTCCCTGTCTCATTCCAGATTGACTACAAAGTCCTACTACTCACACATAAATGCATAAATGGACATGCACCTCCCTACCTACAAGACCTCATCACTCCCCAAATCTCCACCCGCACCCTCAGATCATCAAACAGCTCGCTCCTCCGGGTCCCCAACACCAAGCTCCGCACCATGGGCGACCGGGCCTTTGGCTCGGCAGCTCCACGCCTATGGAACAGTCTCCCTGACCACCTAAGGGCAACACAGACACTGGTCTCTTTTAAAACTGGCTTAAAAACCTTTTTATTCAGGAAGGCGTTTCTGACCTAAATCACTGTCAGTTATTTCTTTTGTGTTTCTGTTCATTCACTGTTTTTTTATTTTTATTTTTATTACGCTTACTAGTTATTTTATTTTTATTATAGTTTGTTTTAACTATGTTTTAACTATGTTTTTTACTATGCACTGGCTCTGTGGCACTCTGAGATTTTTTTAATGAAAAGTGCATTATAAATAAAATGCATTATTGTTATTATTATTGTTATTGTTTGTGGTCACACTAACAGCTGAATAAAGCACCCTTCTTTAAAGTGTAAGGTACAAATGCAGCAAAACTGAATCCTGTTTTATAATGATCAAGCTGTGCAAGGTTCTTTAATTTTACAATCAAGTTTAGTAATACACACTCATTTAGATTATATACAGAAACCTCGATTTCAAGTTTAAGACCGCAATAATCACCTATTAATTCCATTATATTATATTGAGAATAATCCCCTAAGGAGGGTAGAGAAAGGTGGTTCTGGATGTTTGGGTCCTTCAGACAAACTGTCAGGAGAAAAGTGATGATACACACAGGGTTAAATATAAGCAAACTGTGGGAAATCAGGTTCATGCAGGACACAGTTATACAATAAGTGGAATCAATAAAATTAAATTATGCACATCTTAAAAATCGCACAAAAAGAGTGCATATGCATATTTCTAGTCCTGAGTTTTGTGCATGTGGCCTTCAGAGCTGACCAGACAGTGGATCACTTTCAGAGCAGCTTAAGTTCACATTAACTTATAACCTGTTGGAACAGAAGCACCAAACTTCATGTTCCATGTTGGTTTTAGCATCACACATTTGTTGAACTTTCTCAGATGAACTAACATCTGGTTAATTTCACCACATGGAACCAAATCAGATGCTGAGACAGAGACTCAGAGAGACTGGTCTTGTGTAGTGCAGAATGTAATCTATGTCCATCATCAATAATAACAGCTGTGTTGTTCAGTCTAATGACCACAAGATTGTGCTATAAAGCTGAAGAAATGTGGGTGTTTACTGATCAGTGATCCAGAGATCAAAAACACTCCACACTCAAGTTCTGAAGTTACTGATCGCTCCTTTATTAACAAACAAATTCTCTGTAACATGTAGTTATTGTTCTCCATACATAAAGATCATGATCATCAGTTAATACTGATTTACATGTTGTATACACACCACCATTTAAAGTAATATAAATCCTTTAAGCCATTGAATATGTAGATGGATACTAGTATTTTCATGACAAAAACATCAATAAAGTGCCTCACTTAGTTATAATAACAATCATAATAATGAACAGTGCATATATTGAATACAAACAGAATAAATACCCATGTAAACTTTTACTGAACAGTGTAAGAAACATGTAGTGACACAAAAATAAACATTTTGTAACATGCAGGTTATTGAATGAAGTAAGAAAATCTTCTCCAAAAGCAGCAATAAACTTAGTTTTGTTAGTTAATAGCAATCACAAGGTTACAAAGGATACAAGGTTATTCATTGTCATAGTACAACAGGGTTCTGAAACAAAATGTAATTTGCAGTCCCATTTTCTAACATAAGAAAATCACGCAAAAATATATATTAGGATGGAGGATTAATTAGAACATGAAGGGGCTGAGCACACAACCCTGGGGGACTCCGGTTTTCAGCAGTAGAGGGGAGGAGGTGCTGGGGTCTGTTTGTGAGGACGTCTGATAACCAGTTAGATAAGGTAGCTAACTTTATCATCAGTTTCATGGGGGAGATTGTGTTCACGGCTGAGCTGAAATCAACAAACAACATTTTGATGTAGGTGTTATTTTCAAGGTGTGTGGAGGTTAGTGGAGTGCAGTGGAGACGGCATCCTCTCTGGATCTGTTGGCTCTGTATGCAAACTGGTGGCTGGGATGTTGTTTTTGATGTGCTGGAGAACCAGTTTCTCAAAGCACTTGATCAGAATGGGGGTGAGTGCCACAGGATGGTAGTCATTAAGACTACTGCAGACATTCTAGGTACAGGGACAATGGTGGCTGTCTTGAAGCAGGTGGGAACACTCTCTGGGTTCTTAGTAAACAACCAGACATGTTATCAGGTCCAGCAACTTTACTCATTTTCACTGTCATCAGGGTTTTTCTCACATCCGCTGTGGATACTGAGAGCGGCCGGTCCTCGGGAGGCAACGCAGACTTCACAGCTGACCCTTTCAGCATAAAAGGTGCTCGGCTCCTTGGACTCACACATGATGTTGGTGTTAAGGTCACATTTGCTGATATATGATGTCACTGTTAATGCATAGTCCTCAAGATCGGTGGAGTTTTATATGGAATTTAATGATCCTTCAACGTCAATTATACTTAATCTTGAACTTTTGCTTTCTTGGCCATAGGAATGTAATAGGAGTAGAATGGACATTTAACTGTTTTTCTGTTGTCATTTGCTCATGCTAGTGGGCCGAAAAGTGTTTTTGCAAATTGATGGGAAGAGAGCGTAAATTGTTTCGTAGATGGATGACTAGCTAGTTAGCTAGTTAGCTTGTCCTTCTCAGGAGCAACATTGAGTGAGGCGGAGGGGCCGTTAGACTAAGCTCTACTACTGCCCACCAGCCCGCTGTTTTGCTCATTTTCTCTACCAGTGTAGCACTAAAGCATAGTGGAATTAACAAGCTAGTCATCTAGCAAGCTTGCTAATTCCACCATGCTTTAATGCTACACTGGTTACAGATAATGTGCCGCACAAATTGCTTTTCTGGCGATAGAAAAGTGCTTCCCCATGTTGTCAGGGTTCAAGAGTATGTGGATGATTTGCGTCTAGATGTAAGTAGTAAGGAAATATCTGTTCTAATCTTTTTCTATTTCTATGATCCTGCCCATCCCTTTTTGTCCTCATTACAGAAAATGTTTTCACTTTTTACAGCGTGTTATTCTTGTTTTAGGGTAAAAAACCATAGTTTGGTACAGATGTAGTTGGGGTTGAAAGACTCATTGGGGCCATCATGCCCATGGAGGAATTGGGGAAAGGGACAGAGGACAGGGGGCGAATGGAGTTAGACATTGCCATGGTGGGCATGGGGCTTTGTGAAGGATAAGGGGTTAATGGGGAATACGTGGGCATGTTGCTGGGTTGGGGCATAGGGGCTGTGGTGTTGTACATGAAGGGGGGCATGCCGCTGGGTTGAGGCATAGAGGCTGTGGGGTTGTACATCATGGGAGGTATGCTGCTGGGTTGACGCATAGAGGCTGTGGGGTCATACATCATGGGGGGCATGCTGCTGGATTGAGGCATAGAGGCTGTGGGGTCATACATCATGGGGGTCATGCTGATGGGTTGAGGCATAGAGGCTGTGGGGTCATACATCCTGGGGGTCATGCTGCTGGGTTGAGGCATAGAGGCTGTGGGGTTATACCCCATGGGGGCCATGTTCATGGGTTGAGACATAGTGGTTGTGGTGTTATATGCCATGGGGGGCATGCTGCTGGGGTCGTTCCCATGGTCAATCAGAAAAACTCCTGACAGTACCTGGAAGTTATCAATGAGCCTTTCGTCTACATTGGAGAAGTGGTCCTCATCTTTGTCGGACTTCATCAATCCCCGAAGAGCGTTATTTTGAGATAATTTCTTCATCAGCTTCTTGGCAGATTTCAGAGTGCTGCAGAGGTCCTTCAGAGCGTTCTCCACAGTGGGAGAGAATCCGTCCTGCTCTTTTTTTTTGAAGGTGAGAACCAGTCCCTCCAGTACTTTGACTCTCTGGGCAAGTTGTTGGCAGTTCCTCTTGTTGGCCTTTGCATTGACAGCTATCTGGTAGATAGCTGAACATAGGGTCAAGGCCATGTCCAGTGGGGAGTGGTATAGATCCCTGTTATCCATGATTAGCTGTAGAGACAGAGAGGGAATTAGCTTAGATTGAACTGGTGCAACAGTGAAGTGAACCTAACCAGACTGAACTCAATTGAAATGATCAAAACCGCAGATTGCACCAATTGAACTGACCTGAGCTGAAGTGAATTGAAAAGGAAGTAAGTCCGTTGAATTGGAGCTGAGGTGTGTGACTCACT